CAAATGAACTGGAGGTAGGTGGTAATGAATACTTTACGCTAGTAATCTTGCAGTGTGCAACAGCCTTCGCCACTACTTTGAAATCAAAATGCGAGGCTAAAATAACAAAAAAAAAAAAACTTTTAACAGATCGGCTCAATGTACAACAGGCGACACAATTTAAGGTAAAAAATCAAAGTATACGCTGTACCGGTATAACGAGTGCATGAAAGCAGCAATAAAACACAGTCATTCACAATGAACGCTAAAAATCAAATTTCAACAAAAACTTTTAAAGATTCATGTGACTGCCGATCTCATCAAAACTCATCTACTGGAAGCAACTCGAAATCGACAAATCACCCAATAAAACAGCATTTTAAAGAAAATCACAGTCGCTTCCAGAACAAGCTGCATCCGCCCCAAGCCGATTTTCAAAAAATCATTCCATATATGTCGCCAAAGCACTCGTATTTTCCGTCAGTTCCATACTTCACTTATTTTTCCATAAATAACAAAAATTTTTAGATACAGCGTACCTGAAAAAAAAAAAAAAATTGAGAAGAAATCTCCAAGTTATGTGGTAAGTGTAAAATTTGATGATAAAACACAGTTTAGCGATCAGATGCAATTTTATGGTCTCCGCAACTGAAATAGAAAATGCATGGATGAGGATATATATACGTACAACTAATCCATATCATGGCCGTCTGTGTCGGTCACATCTTCATCATCTGGCAGTGCTAGTGCTTGTCGATCGCCGTATGAAAACTGCTCCGGCCCCGCTTTCTGCGAAATTTCAGCTCTCGCCGCCGCTGATGAGGATGCTTCAACGCCCGAGCTCTCGCTTGAGCTCGCAGTTTCAGTGTTCTTTCTTTTTAATGCCGAGGTCTAAAACAGGAAAAACAACTTGCTTTGATTGATTTAGATATTAAAAGGGTGCACGAAAAGTTCTAGGAGAGCCGTAACTAATGTCAAAATGAAATTTGTCACTTTTGTTGGATTTTTGCATCTTATCGAAATGATACTAAAAAAAAAAACACTGAAAAAATGAATGATACACTCAAAACTAGGCGTAGCAAAACTTCCAAGCGGA